GCATGCCAGGAATCCCAGCATGCAGGAGGCAGAAGCAGCAGGATGGGGGTGGCTGCAGGTTTCAGGCCCCTTAGTCAACAGTGCCAGTTCTGGGCCAGTCAGCATCACACAGAAAGACTATGCCTCCAAAACCAATGTGTGCGCACGCGTGTGTGCGTGTGCGTGTGCGTGTGCGTGTGTGTGTGTGTGTGTGTGTCTTCAAAACGTGCACACATACATATATGTACAGAGTTTCAGATGAACACAAAAGGTGGGGGAGTTCTTTTTCATATAAGGGCAATGTGGATTTTAGGAACTTTTTTTTTTTTTCCTTTTTCTTTTCTGAAACGGGGTCTCACTATGTAGCCCAGGCTGGCTTCAAACTTGAGATCCTCCCGCTTGAGCCCCCTGCCTGCTGGGATTACAGCTGTGGTGCTCCTAGGCCTGGCTTGAACAGGACATGCTTCAGCATCCTACAGCTGCCCCTCCCCCACCCCAGCCTAGGCGAGCTGCCCAGAGTGGAGGTTGTGGGGACAGGGGGACAGGCACCTATGCCGGACCTGTACCTGCTCTACCTGCTGTTGTTGTGAATGGTTAGGTGAATCTTCAAATGCCAGCTAATTCCCTGCCTCTTCTTCCCTTCTGACCTCTGTTCTTTCCCTCTTCTCTTCCACATTCCCCTCTTTTATTCCAGCTGGAATGAAATATAAGAAACATAAAAGGCTGAGGCCTTTAATCAGTTGCTAAGTGTTTGCCTTGCACACACAACCCCCTGGGTTTGATCCCAGCACTGTATAAACCTTGCTGTGGTGGTGGCTCATGCCTGTAATCCCGGCACTAGGGAAGCAGGGTCAGGAGGATCTTCGCAAGTTCGAGGCTGCCCTGTTCTATGTAGTACTGAGCCAGCTAGCTTTACATAGTGAGATCCTATTTCATAAAAACCACTCAGTGGTTAGTGGATGCTTGTAATCCCAGCATTTGGGAAGTGAGGGCAGGAAGATCAGAGTTCAAGGCCAACCTCTGCTACATAGCAAGTCCAAGGCCAGTCTGGGTTACATGTCTCGAAATGCCAAAAAAATAAAAATAAACAAATAGTATACATTGATGATGGTCTGGCTTATGCACACACTGTACAATGCTGTGATAATCACTTTAGTCAACACACACCACATTGTTAGTTACTTCTTGAATGTGTATGTGTGTGTGCACACACACACACTTGCTCACCTCACATTTCCAGTGTACAACAACGCAGCATTAACGTTGGTCCCCATGCTCTGCATCAGATTCCTAAGACATCATCTCCTGTTCTGGCACCTGTCCTTTATTCCACTAGAACACCCATCTTCCTTTGCTCCTCTACTCACCCCTCATCACTTGTCAGTTCCCACTGTGGTGTGAGTTGACTCTCTCCAGTATTCGCTCTTTTCCCTCAGGCTTGAAGATAACCCCACACGATCATCACAGATGCTTTGGTCTTCTTGAGCCAAGATTAATTTTTGAGACTTGCCTAAACTTCACATTCATAGATTACTACAAAGAACAACAACATGTGAAAACATATGAACTCTTTCTCCATTAGAGGGGCCAGGTGTTGTCCATTCTGGGCATTCATGCTGTCCTAAATTAGGAGCATGTCCTAAAATTGGGCAGGATATTGAATCCGAAGCAAAATTTTCTCTGTACAGGCCCACTGAGACTATCTTGAGTAGGAATTATTGTAAGATTATTATAGAACTGTCAACTGATTATACATGCAATTGTAGGTAACTAACTATGGATATAATTGTATAGCATTTATAGTTGTTTTATACATGCAACCATAGGTAAATAATTATGGATAGAATTTGTATAGTGTTTATGGTTTTTAAAGAGCAATGTGACATATATTGTACCATTGGCTTCCCACAATGGCCTTGAGAAGGGCAGGCACACACTCGTGAGCACTTTGAGGTCCAGAAAACAAAGTGATGGGCAAGAATCCAGGACCAAAACTTCCACTTGTGAGCTATCCTGTGATTCGAGTCTGCCTTCTGTGGCTTGAGGCTTGCCAATTTCATGGTCTCACCAAAGGGCCATTCATTTGTTTCTTCATGTGCTCCGTGGATATTCACTGAACTCCAGGCACCATTTTCTTTATTAGGTGGAGCGGAGAGAAACGTAAAGGAAAGCCACTCCTCTGTCTTGGGATGGGGAAGACTGGCAGTTTGGGTTTGGATTTCTACCTGTTCCTACCTTGGGCGTGTTGTCCAAACCCTCTCTAACACAATGTGCTGAGATGGAGATTTGTACATTTGCTGCTGCTGGGTTGACCATGCCACTTGATGTGGCCGGGACAGCCCCAGTTCACTCATCTTGGTATCCCATTAGAATGATTAATAATACTCATTGTGTGTGTGTGTGTGTGTGTGTGTGTGTGTGTGTGTGTGTGTGCTTAAAAGTCTCCTGATTTGGGTGATAAATCACATGATCATCTTCCAGGGGTACACAGAAAGCCTGCAATCCCCATCCGAGAGATGTACACAGGGTTGCAACTCCAGAAACCAAAGATGCATGGTGAGATTAAGTACCTAAGACAAGCGACCCCTGTATATCATACACCTAGGACACAGCGTGCAGAAAGTACCATGAGTGGAGGTTCCCAAAGGCAGAGCTCACCAGTCACCTGTGCTTTGATGTTGCCAGACTTCCTTGCAGAGTGATTGGATCACGTGACTAGCTGGGTCCTATTGCTGACTGGAGATGAGATGCCACTTCCAGGCCAAGGCCAGATCTGCTGCCCTCTGCCTCCCGTCTGTGCTGAGATGATGCGATGACTTCTGTTGCCATGGCAGCAGCACCTGGAAACTGAGCCGCCTCTTGGGGAAAAGGCCTCTCCAGCCTGCTTGGACCTGGTGTGAGGGAAGCCAATGCGAGTGTGCAGAGGCATCAGGCTTCCCGTGCAGCGGCCTTTCAGCTTATCGTCCTAATGTTGGAACGAGACCTGGTTCACTTGGTCCGATTAATCAGAGGTCTCTAGTCATAAAAACCCAGCGGCCTCTTCCTCACCGTCCTCTAATCGAGTGGCTTTGCTTCAGTGTTTTTAAGTGGGTTTAAGGTTGTGCTGCATCTGCAGGCTCACATGCCCCCCACTTTCCTGGCATTATCTGATAATGTACCTTAAGTCCCCGAGAAGTTGTTTGTTAGGTGCCAGTGGTATGGACTGTGATGGAGGATGTCACCTTAGATACTTATCAGGCTGTAGGCTTGCTATCAGTAGGATTCCAGTTTTCCTACCCATGGAGTCCACGTTTACCGGTCTCCTACCACGTGCTTCCACTTCCCGTGGGGTTCAAAGTTTCTAAGGACCTGTGTTAAACCCATTTCTGAAGTCTAAAATCAGTTGTAAAAGATGCAACTGGCCTTGCAAAGGTTAAATAGCGTATGCGGAAGAAAACCAGTGCACACTAGAGGTGAGAGCATGAACCACGGTGAAGTGAGGATGCTGCCCAGTGGGCAGCTGATTATTTCTGACTCGGTGTCATGTGACTACATCCCCCGCTGAGCAGCGTGGATGGATCCGCAGCGATGATCCTCAGGTGCTTGCCGCGGCTCTTGTCTCTGGAGAGGACTGAATGGAATCAGTCATCAGAGTGTTACATACAAACGCTTCCAGGAGGCAACCCGGAAACTAGCAACACCAATTGGTGGGTGATTTGCATGGCTGGGGTGGGGGGCAGAATCAAACAGAGTGGCTTTATGGCTGGTGGCTGACCAACCCACCCACCGTCTCTGTCACCTGGCATTGAGCTGGGTCTCTCTGGAGCTGACCTTTGCAGGGGTTCCAGCTTCCCTTTGAAGTGAGGATAACCGATCCATCCCCTTTGACTGAGGCCATCATGGGGAAGTCTGTATTGAGGAGAGGGCAATGGAGTGTCTTCAAGACTGAGCCACGATGCCCTGGCCTAGTCACGGACTTTGGTGGTGTGTGGGAGGTATATTTCTAATCAAGGCGATGAGGAGAAAGACAAAAACACCCAGCGGGAGTCTAAGGGGGTGATCGGGCAGAGGGGCCTGGGACACGAAGTTTTCTTCTGCCTCTTGGTGGGCAGTTGGGCTGCTGGCAACCTGGGCTTGGGGTGCTGGTTTGGGGACAGTTGTGTTGCCTTCTTGGTGGGGTAGGAAGGAGGATGGAGGGGAAAGGGGTCCTTTGGAGGGTAGACAGCCTTCAAGACCACCACCAAAGGTCCAGGCGAGACTAGTGACCCGACACATGCCGTTGCACGAGGCTTCCTAACCACTACCGGCACTTCCCCTTTTAAAGTTCTTGTAGTGTTAAAAACATGAAAAACAGAATACCAACACGGAGATGGAATCAAGTAACGACAGGCATGCTTAAAGTGGCGTGTAGCTACCCTTGATCCTGCCTAAGATCTCTGGGGCTGTTCCTTAACTCCCTCCTGGGTGTGACATTGTGCCTTTAGAGGCTGGGAGAAAGCTGGGAGATAGAGGAGGGCCTGCTTCCCACCCAGAGGGCTGGAGACACTTGCACTTCAGGGCTCTGGAGTCAGCCAGCCGCTAGGCCCTGGGGTAGGGTGGTTTGCATCAGGAGGCCCGAGACCTCTGCTCTGTGCTGCTCCCAGGCAGACCATGGGGAGATAAGGGCTAATCAGACTGTCACACACACAGTGTAGGCTCCTTTTCTGGACTTTAGGAGGGAAAGAACATCAAACCCTAAATAAGAGATAAATACATATCCAAACTCTCTCTCTCTCTCTCTCTCTCTCTCTCTCTCTCTCTCTCTCTCTCTCTCTCACACACACACACACACACACACACACACACATACTTTTAAAAACAACTCAAGTGTGTGATAAAAGCAACACCATCAGAACTGCCTACTGCAGCATTCGGGCCATGGTGTGGAGAGTCTGGGTGGGATGTAGTAAACCCTGCTCTGTCTGGTTCTCCATTGCATAACGGGGCCCATCCGTCTTGAGCTCTTCTGTGGTTTACTTTTGCTCAGTAAGTCACACACGGTATTAAGGTTGAATGAAGACATTTATTTGTAAAACCAATTCCTGACACAGAAGAGACCTTATTGGCAGGATGTAAATGGGCAGTCGCTCAGAGGGCCACATGCACACCACAGTGAAACCCGGGGAACCGGACAGGGAGCACTACAGCCGACCCCCCCACCCCCCCACGTGGCTTCCAGTCGGGCCGGCAAGAGCAGAGTCCTTTCCACTGGAGGACACAGATGCAGGGAGATGTCCTGTGAGAAGGCAATTTGGTCAAACCTCCACCATGGAGTGGGAGGGAATAACGGGGGACCTCCTTTCTATTGCCCGCGGCTCGTTCGCTTGCTGTAGACCTGCTGAAGATCTCCGTGGCCCTCCACCTGCCAGCAGCAGGGCAGCAGCAGCCAACGCCCTGGCCTTCTCACATGCCCATCCTTATGCTCTGTATGATCTGGAAGATAGCTGGGAAAGGAAAGAAAACAGACAGCTCAGATACCAGACAGCCTAACGCTGGAAACCCAGCCCACCCTGTACCCGGCTTCTGCTGACCCTGCCTCTCACTGGCTGGCTCAAAGCTGATTAGATACTTCCTAACAAGAGTCTACGTTGTTAACAAAGGGTCAGTGCATTTCTTTCGAAAAGACAGCCTGGCTCTGGCTGCTGATGGATGCCTCTGGGATTAATAGATAACTTCTGCTAATTCCACCAGGAGCTGCAGCCAGAAATCCCTGAGGCATGGAAGATAGCCTTGGCCTCCTTCCCCATCTATATTCTGGGGTTGCTGGGGAGAGAGATGTGGGCCTTCGTGCAGAAACTGAATGCATTAAGCACGTCAGTGAGTCTGCCTTTTCAAAACGGCCATGACCTGTGAAACAACCAATTGGGGGGAGGGGGGGGGAGAGGCAGGCCAGGTGTTCAGAGCACACACACAGGGCTGGGCTCTGCTGCCCATGACCCCGAACACATCTGTCTTTCTGTGTTCCTATGACTCTGAAGCCCAGTCTCTCATCGAGGGCAACACTGATTAGTGTCGGGCTCCACCTTTAATGAGCTGGGCTGGTGGGATATGGAGCAGGGTAAGAAGAGCCTGAAGGCCACTGAGAACTCCTGAGCGCCTGGAGAGAACTGGTTAAGTAATGCCTAGTCTGATTCTAGCTATTGACTTTTGGGAAAAGAAAGCCCTGTGTGTGTGTGTGTGTGTGTGTGTGTGTGTGTGTGTGTGTGTGTGTGTGTGTGTGTGGGGGGGGGGAGGTTCTATTGTTTTTGCTTTTTAAAACATCTTCCCCAGCAATCCGTGGCTCGACACTCTGAGGATGATGATGATGACACTCAGAAAAGCAACTCAAAGCGTGCTAATATTTTTGACTTTCACTTTGTAGAGGGAGGCTGGGCATCACCCACTGAATCACTGGATTAAAAAACAGAATCAATATAGAACTGTTGAGAGTCTCATTCTTCTCTGTACAATGCATCCCCGAAAATACCCAGGAAAATTCACTTCCTAAGCTGGGCTCTCAGCACCTCCCAGGAAATGAGTCATTTGGGGTGATATCACCTCATGGGACTGAGTACCTGGAGGCTACATAGCTCTCATCCCAATGCTTGAGACCAGGATGTTGAAGATCTGAGGTCCCTCTTTTGGATTTTGGAATATTTGCATATATACTGGGAGATTTCGTAGGAATGGGCCCCAGCCCTCACCAAGGACTTCACTTGTGTCTCATACACAGCTTACGGCCCGAAGGAAACTTGACATGACATTTTTACCGATTTTATGCATGAAGCAAAGCTTCATGGTATAGGACTTCCCACTGGTGGCATTATATCATCACCAGAAAGTTCAGATTTTAGAGAATTTCAGATCTCAGGGGTTTTGTAGCAGGGATGTTCAACACTGTGATGTGTACAGGAGCCATGCTTAGAGATGAGAAATGCCACAGAGAGCCCTGGGAAATCTTCCTTGGACAGCTGGATTTTAAGATAAATAAGTGCTACTGCATTCCCCTGGGGGGACATTTCCCTATAGATACACTGTATATACACATCATCATCTTCCTGAATTAGAAAACCTGATCATGACCTAACATTATCTCTTCACGAATATCCAGTGAGCATACGTAGCACTGTGAAAAACAATAGCTAACAACCCTTTGCTACAGCACTGTTATGCGGGAAGACAGTGTCTGGCCACCTGCACATCTCGGTCCAGTTTCTTGCCCTTTTGTCTCTTTATTGTTGTTGCCTCTGGTCACGTCTCTGGTGTTATTGCACTCACACACACTGTCACTTTGTTGCCATGGATCAACTTTAAGCAAAGACTGTTAGGACTGTCAGATACCGTGAAGGAGTTAGTTCGGCAAGTTATGATATTTAATTCTGGCTCCGCTTGAAGGGTTTCTTGGCTAAGTTTGGGTCCTTGGCTGGCTCTTGATGATAAAGTTTTTCTACCAGAACTTATAAACTTGAAAAAAACACCTAACGTTCCTGTCCTCCCCAGCAAGCCTGACAAGAAGTACAGATTAAATAAGCAATCGGTATTCTGACTCAGGAGGGATGGCACAGGGGAGCTAGATACTCTGTCACGGTAAGAAACACACACACACATGTGCATCCGTCACGTTCTGGACTGAGAGTCATCCTGATCTTCTCAAGCCAGTTGATCTTTATAAAGAGCAGGTTAGATTACGGTGGAATGGCTTGAATCACAGCCACCACGAGTGGACAAATAACTTAGTGTCTCTCCAGCCAGTCCCTCTCTTCTGGGAAGCAAGTACCAGTATTGGTAACATGCTCACGGTCATGGTCAGGCATTAAATGATACAACGTGTGTGAGGGCTCCTCATACACTGAAAATACAACGCACGTCATATGTTATACCTGCCGCAGTTACTGGAACAGACTGGGACCAGAAATGTTTCAGATTTCTCTCTCTCTCTCTCTGTTTGAAGTTGTTTATACATACACAATGTGCTACTACAGCAATAAGGCCCAAGTCTAAACATGAAAGTCATGTATGTTTCATTTATATCTAGCACATTTAGCTTGAAGATTTCTGTTTTAAAAACATCTCTCTCTCTCTGTCTCTGTAAAAACATCTCTGTCTGTCTGTCTGTCTGTCTGTCTGTCTGTCTCTCTCTCTCTCTGTGTATGTGAGCATGTGTGTACCTGCTCATCATTATGTACACCATGTGTATGCTGGCTCCCTCGGAGGTCAGAAGAAGGCATCAGAACCCTGGAGCTGGACTTAGAGGTGGTTGTGAGCGGCCTCATGTGGGTGCTGGGAATTGGGTTAAGGGGCTCTAAGCCACTGAGCCATCCCTCCGGCCCCTAAAGATCATTTTATACAATATATTTAGTGCACCTGAATTTTGTCTGTGGTCCACTCATTTCATGAGGTCAAATGAATTTCCACTGTGGGATCATGTCAGTGCTCAGAAACTTTTAGATTTGAGAACATTTTGGGTTTCAAATTTTTGGATTAGACACTGAACCCGTATTACTATTAGAACAGTGACCACGACTTGCCCATGCAAGTGACACTCACCTGTCACCTGTGTCCTGATAAAGCATGAACTTTGGGGAACAGTTCTGAGTTTGACGTTCTCTGTTTGTAAAACCACGCATTCCCAGGAATGAATATGGTGATTTATGTAAAAATCTACCTGCCCATGGCTAATGCTAAAAAAGCTACCTTTCCTTAATCTCATCTGAGGATCAGTGGGCCATAGGTCACTGCGTAGGATGTAAACTATGTCTTAGTGTATCACACTTCCCATTGTGTTAATTTGTGACTTTAGAAGTTCTAGGTCAGGATAAAGCTACTTGATTTACTTGACAGAACTGCTCTTAGTCTAAGGAGTCTTAGACAAAATTGGTAAGCCTCAGAGTGGCAAGACATGTATTAAAGAATTTGCCGATTTGAGTATTTAAAAGTGGTTGTGATATCCAATCCCAGCTGAAGCCATGAATTAGCATACCAAGTATTTATTACTTTTAATTTGCCTACAAAACAACCCCCTCTTTGAGAAATGACTGGCTGAAGTCTATTTTAGTTCACATCTAAGACCCCATAGATGGGGATGTTTATTATTCCTTTTCCAGTGGTCTCAATGTCTTCAAGAAGTTTTCTACATTTTAAAGCAATTATTTTGCTTGTTATTCTGTGTGCCCGCCAACACTGACCCACACCATGACCCCGGCCCTCTAAATGCTGACTTTCCACGCCCGCAAACAGGAAGGGAGCCAGCGGTGAGATCAAAGAGGGAAAGGAAGCAGGGAGTCTAGACCCTGACAAGTTAATAACTTAACAGTGGGTGAACAAAGCTGAGAAAACAGCTGGATGGGCAGCCGGAGAGGGGGCTGAGGGCAGACTAGACAGTGGGGGGGGGGGGGAGATGCCAAGAAAGGGCAGGGAGGCGGCCAGGCCAGCCACCAGGTCCTGGGCGGGTCACAAACAGAGGCCCCAGGGAAGTCTCTGCAGGAGCAGGATCTGCCGGAGTGAGTGGCACCTGCCCATCTGTGTTTGGATCTTGACCCTCAGAGACCTTAGACTGCAGCTCAAGGTTCTTTGCCTTCTCTCTCTCAACCAACTCAAGCTTTAGTGTGTTTGATGTTCTATCTCCCTACGGCTGGTTCGCATCTCTAAAGATGTTCACAGCCGTTCTCCTCACGTCGTATTCCCACCTCAATCCCACTCACTCTACCTTCTGCTTTCTCCACGGAAGCAGAGTTTGCTCAAGTCACAGTGACCTCTGTGTCACTTAGTGTGACAGAGGCTCCTCAGCCTCCTTTTGCCTCACTTCCCTCCCCACTGTCACTGGGTGCCCGGGTCTGAAGTGCGCCCTGGTCTGAAGTGCGCCCCGTCTGAAGTGCACCCCGGTCTGAAGTGCTCCCTGGTCTGAAGTGCGCCCCGTCTGAAGTGCGCCCCGGTCTGAAGTGCGCCCGGGTCTGAAGTGCGCCCCGGTCTGAAGTGCTCCCCGTTCGCCTTTGGGATGTCTTAGCCCCATTGTTTCTTCTTTTTGGCTCTTTCCTCTCAGTGTTTTATGGGGCTATCTTCCTCCCCCACACACTGGGGTTGAGCACTGAAATCCCTCCACACGCTTAGTGATTTGCCTCTCCTCGTTCTACCCTTTCTCCTGAGGTGAGCTGTCCTGGCCCGCAGAGCTAAGGGCCACCATGGCCCGCAGAGCTAAGGGCCACTGGTGATCGCTCACAATGGGACTCTCCATCCCTCCGAGCCGCAGACATTCACTCTCTGTCTTCTAATTACTGTCATACTTCTCACTCTGCCTCCCCACTGACAAAGTTGGTGACATGGTCTTACATGTAAACACAGAACTCTGGTGTCATCCATGACCTTCCAACTGATGATGCCCTGTGGACTTTACATGGGTATCATGGGATATGTATTCTCTCCATCTCCTGAGATACCACCCTAGCTCAAGTCGCTACCATCTTTCCTG